GGGGGGGGGGGAAGATGGGGCTCCCCACCAACACCCCATGGGACCCGGCCCTCTTCGTTCACCTGTAGGGAGGCTCAGAGAAGCCCAAGCGGCCCGTCTCGGCCATGTTCATCTTCTCTGAAGAAAAGCGGCGGCAGCTGCAAGAGGAACGGCCCGAGCTCTCAGAGAGCGAGCTGACCCGGCTTCTGGCCCGCATGTGGAACGACTTGTCGGAAAAGAAGAAGGTCAGGCTCCCTAGGCCAGAGGGGGCTGCCGGGCCGAGACCAGGCCGCTTCTCCCCCAGGGGCTAGCTTCACTTCCTCACCCTTGGCCTGTGTGAGCCACACGTGTGCCTGAGCTCAGAGCGAGCGAGCGAGCGAGCGAGTGAGTGAGCTGAGTGAGCCAGGCTGGGAGCTCCGCAGGCCGGAAGGCGGGAAGCTGTCAGCTGAGGGCTCTGGCTCCCTGGGGAGCAGAGCCGGTTGGCGGGCTGAGCCCCAGGCTGGAGACATCTGCACCAGCCCACGCCTCTGCCTCTGCTCTGCGCTCCCCGCCCTTGCGGAGGGGGTTGGGGGGGGGGGGACTTCAACTGCTGGCTGAGGAACGCGCGCCCCCTTGGGGCGGCCGGAAGGCTGACGCCACTGCCATCCCTCCGCAGGCCAAGTACAAGGCCCGGGAGGCTGCGCTGAAGGCCCAGTCGGAGAGGAAGCCAGGCGGGGACCGCGAGGAACGGGGCAAGCTGCCTGAGTCGCCCAAGAGAGCTGAGGAGATCTGGCAACAGAGCGTCATCGGGGACTACCTGGCCCGCTTCAAGGTGGCAGGGAACTGGAAAGGGGTTGCTCAGCAGGCTGCCTACACAGGCCACCTCTGGCCCCAGGGGACCCTTGCCATAGCTGACACCCCTGTTTGTCTCCAGAATGACCGGGTAAAGGCCTTGAAAGCCATGGAGATGACCTGGAACAACATGGAGAAGAAGGAGAAACTGATGTGGATTAAGAAGGCAGCCGAAGACCAAAAGCGATACGAGGTGGGAAGGGTTCTGCTGCTCGGCCCAGTGGGCGGGGTGGAGCTGGGGCCGCCTCCCTCCACTGCACTGGTGGGAGCATCCTTTTGGGTGGGCAGCTTTCCTCCCTGGGTGGGCCGTGGACCCAAAAGGCCCAGCCTCGGTTGCGTGACCCCCAGCAAATCTCCCAACTTCCTTTTCTGAGCCTCGGTCACACATCAGTAAAGTGGGGACAGTGATGCCGGTCACGTGGGTGCAGTTGTGACTGCACTTTCGAGCAACGGCGCCTGACCCAGGTGTGAGCTGTTGGGAAGTGGCTCCCTGGCTCTGCCTCGGTTTCTCCTCCTCCCCCGGGACGTAAAAGGAGAGCCGGCTCAGGCACTGATGGCACGGGGCAGGAGGTAGGAATGTTTCTGGGTGGG